GTGGAAGATACGGCCAGACCGACTGGCTATGCATAAAACATCCGCAGACTTTTCGGTGTCCGTAGAACGCATGCACAGTACCGAGTCAAAATCGAACGTGTAACAATCTTCGACAGATGGGAGAATTCGAACGACACGAACGAGGGCGTCAGAGTATGAATTTGGCGAAGGGCTGACCATCAGAATATCCCCTGTACAAAAAGTAAAAAAATGTGCGTGATAGACTACGCTCTATAACTCGAGCTAAAACACAAAATTTTTAACTATATCCACATTCCATAACAAAGGGTTCTGGTATGAACACTGGAACTAGTATATTATAGTAAATGCTGGTTTCAGGCATATCTTTCTCCCTTACAAACTCAGACCGATATGATATTTAAATCAAAAGAAACATTATAAACACAGCCACTTCATCAAGCAATGGGACTATTCAGACTCAGAAAACTCAGGAGAGCGTACCAAGGTCCAAAAATATAATGCTTACTTAAAAATGGTAAATGGCTAATAATTAAAAACTTGCCATTTTCGCAGAGAACGTATACTGGTGAACTGAACAGACAACTGTAGGATTTGGCATCGGTGGTGAACAGTGGGGAACCGATATCAAAATCCGTACAGACAGCACCAAGAGCAAAATTGAGGTTTAACTTTGTTCGACCCTTCTTTTGATTATCCCGGATGTTCTCTTTTTCAGAGGATAGTTTAGGTCCAGCTTCCAATGTCCGCAAAACTGATAGTTTGATTTCCGTTTTCACGGAGAGACTACCGCCGGCACTCCCATTACAACGGAGAAGGTGTAGGAAGCCATCTCTGGTCAACAGAAGAAGAACGCCCTTGACAGTGGGATGCCATTTGGCACGAACCAGACGACGGAGTGCATCCGGTGAGTCGGCTAACGAGTCATAAGCTGTGACAAGTTTGGCTACAATTTTATTCTGAAAGTATTTTTTGAAAAAAAGGTGACAAACCTGCTGCGACTGCACAAATGGTTCTAGTTTAGCCAGATCCAAAATGTGAACAGATGTTTCTGTTAGAATTGCAAGAAACGACCCGCACGGAGAGACGACCAGACACGAAGGAAATGTAGCAGGTTGAGGAGTTAGAAAGAGGATTTTCTTATCGAAGAAACCGGATGCATTCTTCAAAATCAAGTGAATCTGGCATGTCTTGACTTCCAATACAATAGTTCGTGTTGAGCTGTCTGTGGCAATGTCGGGTAAAACAATGGTTACCTTTAAGAAGTGGCGATGGACATCTAGCATTGCAAACTATATGTGGCGAGGTACAAAGACCTTCTAGGTGCGTGTCTGATTTTAACTCTGACAAAACTTCAGATAGTAAAGGCACAAACTCCATCGTTTATGTCAAAAAAACACTGTTATTTAAAATGCCTCAAATTTCAGAGGCGCACTGATAAACTCAAACAAGTGCCATGAGTGACTTGATGCAAGAGCCTTCCTGCATCTTCCCAATCATTTAACAAATTTCTG